AGCTAAGACCTCTCCCATCCCAACATGTGGTAAATTGTAAAGTCAATGAATTGCAGATGTAGGCTACAGTGAGATTCTCTAAGAAAATGCAGAATGAATGAGAGAGAGTGATGCTATAAATATTTACTGAGAAGATAACTAGGTTCCTGCGTGCTGGGCCAATTACGACATACTAAATATGTTAGTAAAATGCCTTAAAAATCGAGAGGATTTGTGTGGGTCTTTGGGTGGGTTGGATTGTTTTGGAAAGGGAAATAAAAGGCACTATATTATTGTCATGTCAGTTTTATTAAGCCTGAATCACAATGGCATAGCCAGGGAGGGACACATGAAACCCACGTTAATGCAAATTAATTCGTTATGAGTCGCGGTGCTGTGACTGCTAAGTGGAGTAATGATGGGGCATCATTTTAAGAGTGTTAGTGTAGCAACTTTTAATGAAAAATGCTATGTTAGGAACATGTCTCAGCACTTTAGCCCATGTGTTTTTATATGCTAGAAATGTGTTTTGTAGAAGAGCAGGAAACTTGATTCACTTTATTCCCCCCCCAACATTTTAAGAACTTTAATTATGTTTTGAGGTTTAAAGAAAATCATCTAGTTTTTCCTCAAAAATCAACCCAGAAATGCCTATCACCATAACCAAGTTCAACTTCAACTTTTCTTTTTTTTTCTTTTTGCAAGAGATTGCAGCAACAAAGTGGAAAAACAATGACTGTAGCATCCCTTGGTAGACCTGTAGATGTAACGTTCTCCGAGCGATTTTTTTCCCCTTTTTTTCTTCTTAGAGGATTTTGGTCTGAGGCAATGTTGCAAGTCAATACTTCTTTCCCCCATTGTGAGTAGGTGGATGTGTATGGAAGCTGTAAAAGTTAATGATCGTTCTCTGACTCATAGCTGATGGTTTCAGGTTGAGGAAAAGAAAAGAAGAAATTAATGAGGGTAAATAGACATTTGATGGAACATGGAGACAGAAGGAGAGATTGTTCTTGTGTCTGAAGGCATGTGTTTTGTTGCAGCAGAATTTCTGAAGGAGAATGCCAGGAAGTGAAAAGGCCAGGCTTTTATGAAGTTATTGTTTTAGGATGGCACAAATGTTCGGTGTCTAGATCTTTGCAGGAATGTCTAAGCCGGGTACCTACCAGTTGGTGCTGGTTTTGCTTTCCCACTGGAAGTTAGAGGTCCCCTTGACAGTTTTTAAAAGGGCAGGCAAAAACCCAAAGTCCTGGATAGAAGTTTATTTCCCATTAAATATAAGAGGCTCCCGACATAGGACGAGGGGTGCTGTCTCTGTCCTGAAAGATGACCGATGACCTAAGAAAAAGTCTTAGTTATACTAAAAAAAAAAAAGTATTTTGTCATTTACGATAATGGCATGGAAATTAAAGAGATTCATGGTGGTAGCTACAGGGTAGAAAGGAGAGTGAACCAAAAACCCCTCAAAACCAAAATCTTTTAGGAAATAAATCTGGATTTTTTTATATAAAAGAGAAAGGCAAGTGATTCATAAAGCTGAAAATAAAGCAAATGCTCTCCCTCTCCCCAATTTAGTAGAGTGAAAAGGCATAAAAAATTAATCTTCATCCCATTGGAAGTTCACTTCATGCTGGAAAAACCAACATAGGATTTCAATTTCTTTAGTTACCTTTGAGCATGAGATCCCTGTGGTTGAAAAAGCCATTCTCCTTCCCTCCTATCTCTGGCTATCTCTGATGTCTTGTATCTGAAACATCAACTGTAGGGCCCGTAGTAGTGATTAGGAATAAAATGAGAGAAATCAAGATAGGATCATAATAAGGGAAGCGGTTCATCATAAAATGTTGGTTTTTCAATTGCTGGAAAATTGTGCACGCCCAGCCACATCTTCTTGGTTCTTCCTGTGGACAAGTGAGGGCAGGGTCATCTGGACGTGTCAGAATGGGTGGGTGGGCCTGGCCATTGTAAACAACCACGCAGGAAGGGAAGGTTTATTTTGTTGAGTTTCACGGGAAGGAATTAAATGAAAAGTACCTGGGAGTTCTCATTTGGTGACACTCCAGGACACCCCAGGGAGGGAGGCACCATGTTGAGGGCGTGTTGTGTGCCCAGGGTGTAACAGCCACAGTTGCTGGCAGAAGAAGTGACACGGACTGCTGTAGGTGACCAAGAGCAGGGTGGTCCCAAGAGTCGAGGCAGGTGGGCCCCTGGTTCTTAAACTCAGAGAAGCCTTAGATAGCCGTCTTGGCGTGGCTCTCTCAACCTCCCCTCATCTTCCAAAGAATCAAGGGCCAGCCATCTCTTGTTCTCTCCTTCCTTAAAGCTTTTTACAGAGATATAAATAAATTATTGTTCCAGTTTAGAATGCCAAGTTTTTACTGGGTCCTTGTATTTTATCTTGGTTTTAAAAAGCTAGACTATAATGAACAAGGCATCTTTGTGTATTAGAGGGAAGGGAAAAGCAGTTTAAAGTGTGTGTTTTAGAAAAGAGTATTGGAGAAAAGAGAGGGTGGAAACCCAAAGGAGACACAAGAAAACTGTAAGTCTTCGTTCGGCGCTGTAGCTGGGGGAAGTTTAGCTCGAAATCTCTTCAACACAGTGGCGACGGGCTGGGAGGAAAGATCTGATGGGAGCTTGGGCTGTGTGGATTTATGAGCTGGTCGAGGGTGTTCTGTGTGGCTGGACACCTGAGGAGGGAAGTTACATTGCTTGGGGGAGTTAGAAAGGAGTGTGTGAAGGTTAAATTAACTTTGTCCTGCTAGATTCTTAAGGACTTTGCAGCTGGGGCTTTACTGTTTTAATTGCAGCATTGTCTCTGGGGGTGTGGTGTTGGCTGGGTGGTGGTGAACGCCAGGATTAAGAATGGAACCGGACAAGTGCAAATTGAATTTGGATTAGCCACAGTTTCATTAATTTATTCATAAGACTGTGATTATATGAAATTTTGCTTCCCAGACATATAGTTAGTTATCAGGTGTCCATTCAATTTTAATTGACAATATGAGATTCCCGTGGTTACTCTGAGTGCAGATTGCCTAGGGCTTTGCAGGGTTTGTGGGAAGAAAAGCTTGGACAAGTTTTCGTTAAGCCCTGAATCAGGCAGTTGGAAAAAAGGAGAATAAAACCGGCTGAAAAGGGGGACAAGTTGTTAGTGTCACCTTCTGTGTTTAGACTGAGAGCCCTCCCCAGACAAGAGCTGCTTTCCAGCCAAGAATTCCAAACTCGCAGAGGAACCTGTTACCTTGCACAAAAGTTGTTTTAACGTGATGCAGAATTGTCACAGTAATTAGTGCCATCTATGCTTACTGACTGGCCGTTTTCACAAAAAGGACGGGGGGTGCAAAGGGTACAGGTTCATCTTGCTTTTTCAGCAATTCACTTGAGATGAACTGCTTCTGAGTGTGTGTGGGGGCCGTGTGCGTGTGGGGCATATCTTCAGTTGCTCAGTGTTCATTTCTTGTTGTTTTAGGGACATTGGTTCATTACTCTGCTTTGACAGGTAAAGGAATATATTTTGGGGGCGCACCTTTATTGTGCCCCCTTTTAACTTTGATTAATATTATGTTTTGGGGCAAGCGGTCTCATAACATATATAGGCAGTGTTTTTGTTTGTTTATTTAGAATAGATGAAATGATCTCAGAACCCACTGTATCCTAAAAGGGGGACTTATAGCCTTATCCCATGAGCAATATGGATTTAGACTATTTTTTAAATTTGATTACTGCTGTGTTGTGTTTGTCTTGAGTTGGTTCAGAAGTTCTTATATAAGTTTCTTTTTTTCCTCTCCTTTTCTTTTTTTAAAAACCTGTGTGGACTGAATAATTTTTCTTGCAGGGAGCAAGATATAAAATCATTGGGTCTAAAACTGGCTTGCAGGCTGGGTTATGCTTTGCTGTATGGAAGTGTCCTGGAGTAGTAATAGTTTAGCAGTAGTAATAGCGATAGCGTGTTATAATACAGATCCGTGTTTGGAAATACAGCTGATTTGCCTTTTGCTAGTCAGGATTGGGCAGCGGTTCCCTAGGACCACCTGACTCTTCATTATTTGTTCATACATGGCAAATTAAAATGCATTTTCAGATATTGTTGAGATCCTTTAGTGATTGTGGTACTGTTTATACAACAGATCAGGTGTTTGTTTTCCCAATTGGTGGGATCCCAGGATTAACAAATATTATTTGGGAAAAGAATAATTTGGTGAGGAATCTTGATATTCCTTTCTGTTTGGGGATCCCCACTTCTTTGAAGGGGGGTCTGCAGGGCTTCAGAGGGAAAGGCCTGGAAGAGACTTCAGTTTTCTGCTGTGGAGGGTCTGGGTGAACCAGGGACATACATTCACCCAGGGGCCACCGAATAAGTGGTCTTCAGAAGACTCCGTGGCTCTTTGGCAGTGGCTGGCTCCCTCTTTGGGGAAGTGTGGATTCCTAGAGTGCGGGCTACAGAGCTGTCCTGGGACGGGTAGCTTAGTCATTGCGAAAGAATGTATAAGGCATCGGGTGGCCCCTGAATTCTGCCTGACACATTTGTTTTCCCCAAAATAGAATTGTGTTTGAGAGCGAGAGCCCAGTTATTAGAACCGTGGGGGTCTTGTACCTGTTGCAGTCTCGTGGCTTCTCATAATCCTTTCTCTCACTACCTCTTCCTCTTGCCTACATGTCGCAATTCTGATGACTTTTTGCAGCACACAGTTAATTTTTCTGCAGCATCCTGCTCAGCACACTGGCTTCCTTTATGTCTTAATGGGCATCCGTCTTTCCTTTTCATGTCATTGATTCTCACTCCTGGCCCCCTTCCCCCTCCCTTTTTGCTTATTGAATAGGCGTTTTCTTTTTTTTTAAACTTCACCTTAGATTATTTGTGATCATCTTGTTCATAGCCACAAATAAAAATACACAGGTCTTGATTGAATGCCAAGGCTGCACTTCAATCTGGGAAGGTTTGTCTGCTATTCATAAACTGCTTAAGATGTTTTCTTGTAGTTTGTGACATAAGCAGAACGCTTTGATTTGGTTTCTTTCTACAGCTCCATTTTCAGTCCGGGAGCACACATTACTCTGCGTACAAAACGATTGAACACCAGATTGCAATTCAGGTAGGCAATGCAAGAGATCCTGAAGCTTGAATTGTCAATATGTAGGTCTCTTGTGTCTTTTATTCTCCACCCCTTCCCCCAACCTAGATGATGGTGATGATGTTGATGGTGATGATGATGATGATGGCGGTGATGATGATGGTGGCGAGGATGATGATGATGGCGGTGATGATGATGGTGGTGGTGGTTGATTCATTGGGGGAGGTGGGAAGCAAAGAAAAAACAAGAGCAGGAGAAATGCTGCTAAAATGATTTAAAGATACGGAAAGAAAGAGAAGCCTGTGTTTTTTGTTAAGAATTTCTTCATCAGGCATAATGGGCACCCAGACCCCAGCTTGGCTACTGTTTTTTGCTTAGGGAGAGGTCTCAAATTGGGAGTAAAATGAGGCGACAGAATGTGAATGAGAAGAATGAAGGCGGGGAGGTGGGAGAGGAGGCTGTGTGGCAGCCAGAGAGTTGCTTCCGGTAGATCAAAATCATGTTAAGTGGTGCTAAGAATATCACTTTTGACCTGGTTGTCCTGAAATGTTGGTTTCTCTTGGACCTGTTGATATATGACACTAAAAGTGCTGGAAGGGAGAGGCGACAGATCCCAGCATCTGATGAGAGTCTTGTTTCCTGCTCACGTTGTACTTTCATTCTCTTAAATCCGAAGGCTAATTAAACAAATCACGGACTAATATAGACTCAGCTGAACTGATGCCAACAGAGTGCAATCGTGGAGGGAGAGCAGACTAATACGATTTTCGTCTGTCTGCCTGGCCTTGCCAGGATGGATGTACCTCATGCGGTAACTAATGGTACTGAAACTTCTTGTCTTCTGGTTTAACCCTTTGAAGCGAGGCTCTTTAAAACCGGTGGTTGTGATGTTCAAGTCTGGCTCTCCGGTCTCTCTTCTTGGGAGTGGTTGTTGGTTGGTTAGACCATGGCTCCCTTTCTCGTAATTGCCCCTTGCAGATGACGTGTGTATGTCTATGTGGTCTCATGGACTCCAGCCACATGGCAGCTTTGTAGCTCTGCTGTTTCAAATCTGCATCTTCCCAGATAAGACTTGCAAATAGCCATTAGCCCCAGGTAAATGGTGAGTTACTCCACCAGTGAGAAGTATGACTCAGCAGACAGTTTTATTTGGTGGATCCCTGATGTTTTTGTGTTCATATCAAGGCGACAGTCACTTATTTCAAAAATATTTTGATTACTTCTGCAGTTGAGCTGCTGATGTGTGTGTGTGTTCTAGGGGAAAGTGCGAGTCTTGGTCTTCCCCCACCATCCCCAAATATTTTCAAGCCTGGTCTCTTTAACTGTTGCTGCAGTTGTTCTTGCTGGCACACTTCCTGGTGGACCCTTCTTCCATTTGATTAACAGCATGGTGAATCTTGCTCCCAGAAAATGGTTTAGACTCAGGGTTTGGTTAGAGAAGAAGCCCAAACCCTAACTCCGTGAATGGATGGATGAACAGACAGTGTCCTGAGGCCTTCTACAGCTCGTGGAGTGCTGGAAAATCCTGTTGCCCAGGGTGTGGGAATTGTTGAGGTTGAATAGCATAGTGATCGCTATCTTGGTGTGGAAAGGCTGGCTGGGGCCATGTCACTGGGAGACCAGCCGAGACCAGACCAGCTGTTGTGTCTTTACACCCATTGCTGAAGCGTCCCTTGTTAGGCCGAGCAGTTCGTCTTTCTCCAGACCACCTGGCACGGTGCAGGCCATGTGAAGCTCTTTCTCAGGAGGAAGATGGAGTAAATTACAGAGCTCATTGTTTGGAGGACTGAAACCATTACTGTTTCTCCATGAACAGGTAGTATTGTTCTCCCACGCTTCTATTTGCTAAGGCTTGATGCCCATGTGGGCAAACAGAGAGACATTTTATTAGAGACCCAGCACCGGCATGCTTTCAGTGTTCATTCTCTCCCAATCTCTGCTAGACCAGGACGAGGCCAAGCCAACTGGCATCTAGCCGTAATTTTAGTTTGATCATCAAAGGATAAATGGCAAAAAACAAAACAAAAGAAGCAAAGGGAAAAAAGAGGAAACCTCAGACACAATAAAATTGTTCTCAAAGCCCATGGCGGCTCAGCAGCAATGTGGGGGTTAGAGGAGAGGGTGGCCCTGCTTTGGTGTGGAGTGGAGTGGACGTTTTCCCTTTGCTCCATTCTGCAATTTAAGGCTTAAATGCAACGTGTTTGGTGGGGCAGAATTTTCTTCCCTGGAAACTTAAAACTGTTTAACCTTAGTAAATACTGTATTTCAATATGAGGTGAGCTTGTTGCTCTCCTAAGCTATATCCTAAAATAACCTCGTAGTATGACACCGTGCATCACATGAGATTCATACCCCTTTCCCTTCCCATCCCTCTTGTAATCTCAGGACTTGGCCAAGTTCACCATTTATATGAATGACCTCTGGGTGATTCTATAGACATGTCCTGTTCTTGTAAAAGGTTTGGACACAATATCAGTTGTTGTGTTGGGGTCTTCCCCACTTTTGACAATCTCCTAACTCCTTTCAGTTTTGAAAAGACAAGAGTAACACAAATGGCCATATTCTCCCTGAATGGTTAACACAGATATAATTGGAATGAAAATTAAAAGGCCTTTGTTTTAGACATGCTTATTTAACTTTATTGATTTTTAAAGAGTTTCACTGAAATATAATGTAAATACAGCATAGTACACAGATCTTTAGTGGAGAGGTGGATGAACTTTTATATTTGTGAACATCCATGAAATCATCACCCAAATGAATATATGGAATGAGGTTGGAACACTTTCTCTGTAAAGGGGCCAGATAGTAAATATTTTAGGCTTTGTGGGCCATACAGTCTCTATGGCAACTACTCAACTCTGCCATTGTGGTGCAAAAGCCACCCAATATAATACCTAAAGGAATAGGTGTGGCCGTGTCTCAATAAAACTTTATTTATAGCAACAGACAGTGGCAGGATTTGGCCCACAGGCTGTAGTTTGCTGGCCCCTGATACAGAATATTACCAACTCCCCAGAAGTCTTGCTTTTTCCCTTCTCTTCCCAGTCGTACGGCTTCCCCCACCTCCAACAAAAATTCTTGCCATGGATTAGTTTTGCCTGTTTTTTTAGCTTCTTAGAAATTGGGTTGTATAGAATATACTGTTTCATGTCTGGCCCCACTCAGCATTATGTCTATGAGTTTCATCTCTCTTATTGTGTGTAGTAATAGTTTGCTCTTTTTTATTGCCATGTAGTGTTCCACTTAGGAATATGCCACATGCATGTTCTTTTTATGATATTGGATATTTGGATTGCCTCCAATTTTCTGCTATTATGAATAATGTCCTAATAACATTCTCACTCACATCTTTTGGAGGAATATATGTGTCCATTTCTCTTGTTCATACACAGCAGTGGACTTGGAGAGGCAGGGGGTAATATGTGTGTTTAGCTGTGCATTGACCTTTTGAGAGAGACTTGAACACTGGATTTCAGGTGTTGTCATTAAAATGCACTAGCATAGTGATTGTTGGGTATGTGAGTGATATATATGAGGGGGAGCAGTAAAATGATCTAGGTGTGATCAGAGGCTAGTTTGCCCAGGCTCCTGTGCAGACCCTTTCACACAGTGGTTTGGCTTCAGGCCCCAGCTCCTAGGAACTCCTCCCATTGTCGCTATTAACCTGGGAAGAGATTTTGTAGGCTGAATGCAGCGGGGGACCCACATTGCAGATGCCTCCCAGGGATGCCTGGCAGGTGATGGTGGATAAATGTTTAGACATCTTTGTTGCCTCCCTGAAGAGAGCTCTTCCAACACTCCTCCGCTCATCATTATTCCAACCCCAAGAGCAGTGTTGTAATCAAGGTCAAGACCCAGAGAAGATGTTTCCCTTGGTTTTCAGAAGGGCTACTTTAGAACCAATTAAGCCTTTGTTTTAAGAGTATTTTGGCCAAAGGTTGATGTTTTAACACCAAGTCAGATGTGATTTAGGAAAAAAAAACTCCACACACAGCAAAAACAAACTGTGTGGACCTTTCTTTGTTGTTTTTCTTTTGAGATGTGAAGTGGTGTGTGTGTGTGCGCATGCGCGCGTGCATGCACGTGCTTGTGTGTGTGCACAGAGACAACTAGGAGAGGATCCAGAAGAAATGGACCATTTTATTTGTTTACACAGCTGAGTGGTGGAGACTCTGCAGTGGGTGTTGCTTTCCCTCTTGTCCTCAGGCTTACAAGCTTCCATCTGAGTTTTACCAGAGTACCCCTTCTGCTTGGTCTTCGAACTCATCCGCCATGATTCAGTAAGGCCCCATGGACTCTCCTCCAGGGCCTGGGTGCTTTCTGGAGTCAAGCAGAGTAGGAGAGAAGCTGCAGAGTGTCCTGGCCCCATATTGGCCACTTACTCTTGGAATGTGAACTTGATGTGTTGTCTTGTCTGTGTCTTAAAATCATTAAGATTCCTGAGGTGCTATGGCTTGGAGTCCATCTCTTTGCCCAAGTAGATCCTTGGCATTAGTGATAAAAATGGCCAGAGGTTAGTACCAGTGGGTTTGGCCGGGATGTTCGGGAGGGCTCCTGGCTTTGCCCCACTTTACGCTCCTGTTGGTAGTCTCTTGTGTTCTAGGCCCATCTACACACCACAGCTTCCCTGGCCTTTCAGTTCTTATGAGGATGTGCTCTCTCGGTTGAAGAGCAAGTCTGAGCTCAGTGGGAGAACTTCCAGAAACAGCTTCAGTTCTTAGTGCGGTCACTTCCTCACTCTTCCTTTAGGTCCATCGCTAGACCTATCTGTGAGATTTCATGTCCACTTTCCACAAAGAACAAAGTGTGTGTGTGTGTGTGTGTGTGTGTGTGTGTGTGTATGGAGAGAGAGACACAGATGTCATTTCACCAGAGTAGTTTGACAAAGCGTGTGGATGCCAGTTAACTCATTCAAAAGATTCATTCATTTGCTACAGTGGTAAGTTTTAGCTTAATTGTCTAATTTAAGTCCACGCTTTAGAATGTTCATTTATTCATTAATTCAAAAATATTTGTTG